TCTCTCTCTCTCTCTCTCTCACTGTCCACTCTGCCTGTCAAAGAAAGAAAGAAAGAAAGAAAGAAAGAAAGAAAGAAAGAAAGAAAGAAAGAAAGAAAGAAAGAAAGAAAGAAAGAAAGAAAGAAAGAAAGAAAGAAAGAAAGAAAGAAAGAAAGAAAGAAAGAAAGAAAGAAAGAAAGAAAGAAAGAAAGAAAGAAAGAAAGAAAGAAAGAAAATGAATCTTGATGTGAATGGAATGGGAAAGGGAGCGGGAGATGGGAGGGGTGTGGGTGGGAGGGAAGTTATGGTGGGGGGAGCCATTGTAATCCATAAACTGTACTTTGGAAATTTTTATTTACTAAATAAAAGTTTAAAAAAATTGTTCTTACAATTGTGTCTTACTGTTACATTCCTGGAGATTTAAGAAACTCCTAGCAGTGACAAGAAAGAAGTTAAATGAGTATGAAATTGAGAGTTTAGTACCCATGGAGACTTAAAAACCAGCGAATTTGAAATGACAATCACAATAATATGCTAAAAAAATTGTAAAGGTAATTCTTAATCAGTTTTAGGATCCCAAATTATTTAGTTTTGGGTAATATGAATAATCCATGGCTTTTAGTAGTAAAATTAAGATTTTGCTTTTAAAATTATAGACTAGATTCCAATGTCAATGATAGCTATTAAAATATTACTGTTGATTCTTCCATGTTGTGGACACTGCCCAGTGATCCAAGGCCAAGCACTGCATCGTGACAGGACTCCAAATCCCTAGCGCCATATGAGAGTTCAAAGGCCTCTCTTCATTGTTAATCTCTAGGTCTCTTTTGTTGCAAGTTAGCAAAGTGTGTTTGTTACTATGATTCTCTTAAAAACTTCTGGGAATTTTGTTAGGTTTCATGTTATTCAAAAACTACTTTACCAAATCTTTTTATCTTTTTATGTTTCTTTATCTTAGTTGCAGAGAAACAGAAAGAGAACACTCCGTTCTGAAGAGTCATTTCCCAGATGCCCACAAAGTCCCTGGGCCAGGCCTAGATCTGATGCTGTGTTCCTGGAACTCAATCCAGATCTCCTGGGTTGGCGGCAGGAACTCAGTTAATTGAGCCATCACTGCTTTCTTCCGGGATCTGAGTTAGTAGGAAACTAATGTCAGGAGCCAGAAGGAATATCAGATCCAGGCATAATCACATGGGATGTGGACATCTTTAACCACAATTTCTTGATGCCACAAATCTTTTTGTGATGAACTGTTCACTGTGGGATTCCTCTACAGTGAATCGTTACCATTAACATTTTCATACAGTAAGATCTTTATGGTTATTTGAGGTAACAGCTTAAATCTTTCTGAGGTCTTAAAAATGAAATTTTACAGGCACAGTCTTGGCTTCATTTTTTTTAAACAGATAAGAGTTAGTGAGAGAGAGACAGAGAGAAAGGTCTTTCTGCCATTGGTTCACCCCCTAAATGGCCGCTACGGCCGGAACTGCGCTGATCTGAAGCCAGGAGCCAGGTGCTTCCTCCTGGTTTCCCATGCAGGTGCAGGGCCCAAGCACTTGCACTTGGGCCATCCTCCACTGCCCTCCCAGGCCACAGCAGAGAGCTGGACTGGAAAAGGAGCAACCAGGATTAGAACCACGTGCCCATATGGGATGCTGGCACTGCAGGCAGAGGATTAACCAAGTGAGCCACGGCGCTGGCCCCTTGGCTTCATCTTTAGATTGTGTTTCCCTGGCAGCACTATGGATTTGAGTTTATCACAGAAGCCATTTATTTTACGATTGGCTGTTTGACATGTTCAAAAATGAGAAACAGAAATTTTATGCCAGCAATTCCTGGTTGCTTTACAGTTAATAGTCTTTCATTTCTCTTTCACATGAACTCTCAGATGCTGCGTGTCAGGAGAGGTCCCTTTAATTTGTGTCTCAGTGCTTTCTTTCCCTGGACTTGAAGCTCTTTCCGTCGTTTTGTCCAGGGATGTTAGGCATTCACACACAGTCTCTGTGAAGGCCTTTCGATCTTCATTTCTACTCTTCTCTAGGTCACCAAGCTTACTCCCACCTACTGGCTGAAGACATTTTGTGTGTTTTAGATTTTTCTTTTATAAATGGCAACTCCCCCGTAGTTAGTATCAGTATATATTCTAGTTTTTCTCACTATGTAGAAAATCACCTCCAAATTCAGGGTTTCTGGGGAGGTGTTAGCCTGGTAAGTTAAGGCATCTCAATCGCAAATTGGACTGCTTGGCTTTGATTTCTGCCTTCAGCTCTGGCTCTGGTTTCTAATTCCATCTCCTTGCCAGTGGTGACCCTGGAGGTGGTGGCTCAAGTAGTTGGGTCCCTGCCACCCATGTGGGAGACAAGGATTAAGTTCCAGCTCCTGGCTCTGCCCCAGCCAACCCCAGCCATTGGGGTATTTAGCAAGTCAAGTAGTAGATGGGAGCTCTTTAGATTTTACTTAGTACACAATCTACAATTTTGGCAAGATTCAGTGAGCCACTCATTTCTTCTACGTATGGCATCATCTGCAGTGACTTGAAACTAACTAAAGACTTGCTTATTCACATGTTTGATAGTTGAAACTGGTTTTTGGCTGGGCCTTTAAAAATACTAGACTATTGCAATGCTTGTATGATGATTCATCTTGAGGCTTGGGGTTTCTCACAAGATGGGTGTTGGGTTATAAGCATAAACACATAGAAAAAGCCAGGTAGAAGTTCTATCACATTTTGTAACAAAAGTCACACACACATTCTGTGATATTCTGTTTACTAGAAATTTGTTACTATATACATATTCAGGAGAGGGGATTTAATGGGAGAAATGTCAAAGGAGTTGTGGGCATGTTCTGAACCCACCACTTCAAAATCAAATAATGATTAGGTCTGAAGGAAAGTAGTTCTTCCCAATTCCACCAGTGGTTTTTGTTTAGCACAATTACTAATTGTGAAAAGTCCCAAAAGTGTAAAAAAAACAGCATTATTAATAATATTTATTAAAAAATTAATAGATCATGTCACCACTTATATAGCCGAAAACATGATTACTACTTAACCCCAGAAATTACTCTTTGAAATGCAATTGAAACAAGCATAAAACATCTGTATTTCAGAAAAAGCTTATGTTATTAGAGTCTCTACTCACAAGATTCATCAATAAGAGTCTTACTTTCAAGTCCTATACAGGGAGCCATTTGTTAACTCGGACTTAAATAAAATAATATACTATCTTTAAAACATCTTTAGAAATTATGATAAATGAAAATGGTGGAAAGGAGTAAGAGTTTTTTTCTTTTTTGATGTAGATTTTTTTAATTTAAAATTTTTTTAAGTTTTTTTTTATTTTTTTTAAACTTTTATTTAATGAATATAAATTTCCAAAGTACGATTTATGGATTACAATGGCTTCCCCCCCATACCGTCCCTCCCACCCACAACCCTCCCCTTTCCCACTCCCTCTCCCCTTCCATTCACATCAAGATTCATTTTCGATTATCTTAATATACAGAAGATCAGCTTAGTATACATTAAGTAAGGATTTCAACAGTTTGCTCCCACACAGAAACATAAAGTGAAAAATAATAGATGATTTTTTTAAATGACAACAGGAGTCACTGTGCACTTACTCCTCATGTAGGATCTCTGTCCTTAATGTGCTGTGCATTGAGATTTAATGCTATAACGAGTACTCAAACAATATATTTCACTTTGTGTTTCTATGGGGGTGCAAACTGTTGAAATCTTTACTTAATGCATACTAAACTGATCCTCTGTAAAAAAAAAGAAATTATCAACTCCCAACTTGACTCTCACTGGGATTAAACATAATTTAAAAATTTTAATACAGTAGCTTCTCTGTCACAGCAAATGCATGATAATTATTACAACACGATTATCAATTCTCATGTTACAGCACAGTTAATTATAATACAAACAGAACAGGGTTTTTGTCTGTTTCTTTTTTAAAGATTTATTTATTTACTTATTTGAAAGGCAGAGCTGAAGAGAGAGAGTGAATGACACAGAGAGAGATATCTTCTGTCCTATGGTTCAGTCCCCAAATGGTCTGGCTGGTGCTGGCTTAGACCAAAGCCTGGAGCCTGGAGCTCCATCCAGGTCTCCCAAGTGGTTGCAGGGGCCAAAATACTTGGGCCATCTTCCACTATTTTCCCAGGCACATTAGCAGGTAACCTGATTGGAAGTGGAGCAGACGGGACTCCAACTGGATACTGGTATCACAAGCAGCAGCTTAACCTGCTGTGCACAATGCCGGCCCCAGAGTATTTTTAAGGGTGACTTAGAAACATCTTAAAGAAGAAAGATGAGAAACAATGATAAGCAACTAAAACTTTAAGATCAAGTATAAATTAAAATATGGCAGATGATGTGAATAAAGAATATATTTTTGATTCTTCGTGTTTTTAAATTTTTTGATATTCTGAATAAGTAATTTAAGGTACCACATTCTATAAATGTCTGAATTTATATGATCTGAATATAATGATTTTCATTGGATTTATTTCCAAATTTGTCAGTTTTTGTATTACACAGTTTCAGCTTCCCTCATTACCAACCTGTATTATTTTGTTCATGCAGATTGATGATCTTAGAATAAAACTGGATACTGCATCTTCAAAATGTCAGCATATGTACACAATGAATGAAACTCTTCAACAACAGTTGAGATCTCTGAAAACAATAGAAAGGAAATATAAAAAACTGGAAGAGGAAAAAAATCAATTGAAGCAAACAGTAATAAACCTCAAAAGTCATATAGAAATGAATATGGCAGAACATGATCAAGTAGCATTGTATAAACAGGAGATTGAAGAAAGAGCAAGGCAATATATAGTAGACAGATTAAAAGAAGTCAATCTATTTTTACAGGTTAATTATATATCTGTGATATGCTTCCACGTATTTCATTGTTTTGGATGTATATGAGGATATTGTGTGTGTTTCCTATATTTCCCTTATGGCAATTTGTTTACTAGATTTCTAGAAGAAAGTTAGCATCTGTTAATTCTTTCAAATATTTCAGTTTCTATCATTACTAGAACCAAGCTGATCTTTCAAAATAATTTTCTTAAGATACTCATTATTATGACTACTTGGCATGAAACCAGACTATTAGGAAGAACAAAAAAGTGTCATTTAGAAATTATTGTCCTTATGTGACACTGTTCAATATTTTAAATTTTAATTAAATCTGTTTACTGAATTATCAGATTACATGAATACTAACAGAAGGATTTCAGTTTTTATTTTGGCTCACATTTAATTCAGTGGTTATTGAAGATATGTATTTTAGATGTCATCTATTTTTCACATCTTTAAAACTGCTCTCAGAATCATTGAAAAATAAGGAAACAAATATTATCAATAACAAATATTAAACAATAATTATCAAGATTGTAATTGTTTTAAAACTTATTTTTCTGATTTTATGTAGGCACAATCAGCATCTCAGGAAAATATAAATCATTCAAGAGACAATAATAATTCTTACATAAGGACCCGCATGGAACTCAAAATCAATGACCTAGAATCTGAAATCTCCAAACTGAAAGCTGTTAAGGATTCTAATAATACAGAATTGGAAAAATATAAACTATTCTACCTAGAAGAATTAAAAGATAAGAAATCATTGTCAACTGAATTAAATGAGTAAGCCAAAATTTAGAATAATGTAAAATAAATTAAGCTCATTAATTTGCCTCTAAAGCATACTTTCTAATTTAGAAAGACAGGCTTATAACATTAGTAGAAAATGAAAGCTAAGTAGATTGAGTACTTTTGGAAACTATTTCAGTCCAGAGCTTGATGTTTGGTGCTACACTCAAGTGACTACTTGGAACCCACATCAGAGCACCTGGTTTGAGTCCCAGTGACTCAACTCTGATCCAGATGCCTGCTAATGTTCACCTACAAAGGTAGCAAATAATGGGTCACATATCTGGGTCCCTTAATAACCACATGAAAGACTCAGATGGGGTTCCAGGCACCAGGCTTTGGGCTGGCCATGGCTATTGTAGTCCCTTGCAGAATGAGACCTTGGCTGGAGGATCTCTCTGCAACAGTCTTGCTGACTCTCTGTCTTCCTTTTTTTTTTTTAAGATGTATTTATTTATTTGAAAGTCAGAGTTACGCAGAGAAAGAAGGAGAGACAGAGAGAGAGAGAGAGAGGTCTTCCGTCTACTGGTTCACTCCCCAATTGGCTGCTGTAACAGCTGGAGCTGCACGGATTCAAAGCCAGGAGCCTCTTCCAGGTCTCCCACATGGGTGCAGGGGCCCAAGGACTTGGGTCATCTTCCACTGCTTTCCCAGGCCACAGCAGAGAGCCAGATCAGAAGTGGAGCCACCGGGACTTGAACCAGCGCCCATATGGGATGCTGGCACTGCAGGCGACAGCTTAACCTGCTACGCCACAGGGCTGGTCCCTCTCTGTCTTTCAAGTGATAATAAATATTCTTAAAAGATAGTATTTCCACTTGAAAAAAAAAAAAAAAAACAAAATTTTAGTTCAAGAGAGTTAATATGAATAATAGTGAATTTAACTGTCTTTGGAATCTCTCAACTCACACCCAAAGTGTCAGAAACAACTACTGCTTAGGCCGGTGCCACAGCTCAATAGGCTAATCCTCCGCCTTGCGGTGCTGGCACCCTGGGTTCTAGTCCCGGTCGGGTCGCCGGATTCTGTCCTGGTTGCCCCTCTTCCAGGCCAGCTCTCTGCTATGGCCCGGGAGTGCAGTGGAGGATGGCCCAAGTGCTTGGGCCCTGCACCCCATGGGAGACCAGGAGAAGCACCTGGCTCCTGGCTTCAGATCAGCGCGATGCGCCGGCTGCAGCAACCATTGGAGGGTGAACCAACGGCAAAAAGGAAGACCTTTCTCTCTGTCTCTCTTTCTCACTGTCTACTCTGCCTGTCAAAATTAAAAAGAAAGAAAGAAACAACTACTGCTCTTGGCACAATCTGGCACTCAATAGCTTAACAATTCCCTGATTGTGATTATTGGTGTTATCACTAGAGGGTATGTTGAGAAAAACTGCCCGTTATGATGTGTCCACCCCGAGCTAGGGAGATTAACACAGAAATGGAAGGAAGAATAATTCACAAGAGTGGTTCAAAATAAAACCTTGGGGCAGGCATTGCAGTCTTGCAGTTTGGGTTGCCGTTTTGGATGCCTGTGTCCACTGTCAGAGTATACAGAGTGAGTCCTTGTGCTGCTTCTGAACCAGTTTCCAATGCACGTGGGAGGCAGTTGGTGCTAGTCCAAGTACTTGAGTCATTACCATCCTAGTGAGAAACTTGATGGAGTTTTGACTCCTGATTTTGGCCTAGCACAGCTCTAGCTGTTGCAGGCATTTGGGTAGTAAACCCACAAAGGTACATCTTTTCTCTGTCTTTCCTTTTCTACCTGTCTCTATGCCTTTGAAGTAAATAAGTAAACATAAATAACTTATTTATATCTAAGATTTATTTATTTTAGTTAGGTAGAAGGAGAGACAGAGAGGGAGAGATCTTCATCCAGTGGTTCACTCCCCAAAATGGCCACAATGGCTGGGGCTGGGCCAGACTGAAGTCAGGAGCCAGGAACTCAAGTACTTGTGTATCCAAATCTCAAGTACTTGTGCCATCTTCCACTGCTTTCGCAGGCACATTAGTAGGGACTTGTATCATAAGAGCATCCAGGACTTGAACCAGTACCCATAGGGGATGCCAACATCATGGTTGGCAGCTTAATCCATTAGGCCACAATACTAGCTCTGATCTTAAATAAACAGAACCTTGGTCATCCACCTCTGATGCCAGGGCAATAATGTTATGAGCTAATTGCCTTTGGGGCTGCTTTAGTTCTTTCTCCTTACCAACTTAGCTAATGCAAGAGCTTACTACTCTGAATTTTCTTCAGTGCCAAATGCTTAACTTCCCCCAAGTAAAAGATGAAGTGTGCAGAAGCGGTAAAAACAAATACTTGAAAATGTGTTGGAGAATTTTTAAAATTTTCTAATCTGATTTAACTACGTACAACTTTTTCTAGCCTTTTATAAAAGATTTTGAGGGATAGGTGATGTGCAGTGGGTACATCCCATATGAGAGTGCCAATTTGAGTCCTCACTCCTCTACTTCTGATCCAGCTTCCTGGTAATGCATTGTGGGATGGATCAGAAATGGTCTCATTGCTAGGCATCTTGCCATGCACATTGGAGACCTGGTTACAGGCTTGGCTTCAGCCTGGCCTAGTCCTAGCTGTTTCAGGCATTTTGGGAAATGAAACAGCATATGAAATATATCTCTCTCCAATGTTATGCTTTTGTTATATATATGCATATGTTGATATATTTATAAACAGCAAAGAGGTTATTATAGTCCAGATAATTTTTTTAAGGTTTAATTATTTGAAAGACAGAGTTACAGAGAGAGGTAGAGACAGAGAGAGAGAGAGAGAGGTCCTCCATCTGCTGGCCCACTCCCCAGATGGCAACAGCTGGAGCTGCACCGATCCGAAGCCAGGAGCCAGGAGCTTTCTCTGGGTTTCCCACATGGGTGCAGAGGCCCAAGGACTTGGCCATCCTCTACTGCTATCCCAGGCCACAGCAGAGAGCTGGATCAGAAATGGAGTATCCAGGACTAGAACTGGCGCCCATATGGGATGCTGGCACCTCAGGCCAGGGTGTTAACCTGCTGTGCCACAGCACTAGCCCCTAGATAATTGATATATTCATCATCTCACATCTTAACCTTTGAAATACTAGTATTTCTGATTTCATTCACAAGAATCTTGTAAGTAGACATGTTGTAAGGCAGCAAGTGTTAACAACCAGCCATACTTCAATGACAGTCATTTCTTGGACTCTTGCTTTCAATTGTTCATTAGAAATCCACCCACAAATATATTTACTACATTAGAAGAATTTACAACCTGTATTTTAAACAGCAGATGTGTTCTGACACATTTTTGTACTAAAACATTGTTTAATAGGAAATTCCACCTATTTGTATGGAAGTGTGTGTGTGTGTGTGTGTGTGTGTGTGTTTGTTTGTTTGTTTAAAAAAAAAAAAAGGCCAGTCAGTGGCTTAACCCACTGTCTGTGCTGCTGGCATCCCGTATGAGCACAGATTTGAGCCTTGGATTCTGTGCTTCTGATCTAGCTCCCTGCTAATGTAATGGAAGGTGACTTGGGGCCTTGCCAACCATATGGGAGATCCTGCTGGAGTTCCAGGCTCCTGGCTTTGGCCTGACCCAGCTCCAGCCATTGTGGTCGTTTGGGGAGTGAACCAGTGGATGAAATATCTTCTGTCTCCCCCCCCCTCTGTAATTCTACCTTTCAAATGAATAAATCTTTTTTAAAATGCCAGTCGTTTAGGAATTATTGGGGGGAACTGAATAAGTAAATCGTTGTCTTTGAACCCTTCACAGAACTAAAAGGAGGCTAGCTGAAATCACCATGGAGCTTCACACGGAGAAGCAGCTGAATAGATCTCTACTCAGCACTCCGACCATGAGGCCTGTCCTAGAGTCACCATATTGTGGAAACCCTAAGAACAGTTTCGTGCTCAATAGAGATCTTGTTGTAAAGGAAAACTTAGTGATTCCCATCTTAAGACCACAGCCATCAAATAATACCATGGATGACTATTTGACCAAGGTTAGATATATCTCATTTTCCTTTGGGCTTCAGATTCCTGATAGAATTCACATTTTTAATTTAGTTGAAAGGTTGAATTTGATTTATGCGTGCTAGGGTTATAATTAACTTTGTTAATGTGGAAAAGAAATTATATAATTGATATAACTATGTTCAATAATGGAATCAAAACAATACATTTTAAATTAAGAGATGCATCCCTATTACCTTTTAGAAGTAGAAAATGTTTTCCTAATAACTAAAGGTATACTTGGAGATAATTTGACTTACTTCCTAATGGATTTCGGTTTGACTGGTTCAAAATGATTTTCAAGTTTTATTGCTTTATAACAAGCTTTTCACCCTTAATCATTGTTGAATGATTGGCATTCAAAGATTGGCATCCACTGGTGGATGTTTATTATTGATTGAAAGGGATTATTTTACATTTTAAAAGAATATGTAATTCCAGTAAAGATTAAAAATTTCTGCTTTTCTCTTAGAATGTTTTATGATCTAAAACAAGAATACCTATTTAGTTGCTTTTATTTATAGCCTTTTTACTTGAACTTTGTAAAGCATATAATTTTAAGTAATTAAATTAAGCAAATATTTTAATTTTTTTAAAATATTTTATTTATTTGAAAGTCAGTGTTACACAGAGAGAGGAGAGGCAGAGAAAGAGAGAGAGAGAGAGGTCCTGCATCCAATGGCTCACTCCCCAATTAGCCACAACTGCCAGAGCTGCGCCGATCTGAAGCCATGAGCCAGGAGCCTCTTCCAGGTCTCCGATGCGAGGGCAGGGGCCCAAGGACTTGGGCCATTCTCCACTGCTTTCCCAGGCCATAGCAGAGAGCTGGATCGGAAGTGGAGCAGCCAGGATGTGAACCAGCACCCATATGGGATGCCGGCGCTTCAGGCCAGAGCGTTAGCCCACTGTGCCACAGCGTCAGCCCCGAGCAAATATTTGAATTTTTTAAAGTTTACTGACACAGTCTATCACTTGAATGCTTGATGATGAAAGCAGAAATAACATCTGTAAATAGCAACTATCATCAAACAAAATCATTTATTTTCTTCCTATACAGAATCCTGTGAAAAGCTTCATACAGTCCATATCTTCATTGGAGATATAATAGTAACCTTCTAATCCAACCATGTGATTTTATTTGTAAGAAGAATTCATTTTGAGAATTTAAGAATAGCAAGAGGGACAGGCTATCAGTTGTAGAGTTGGTAAAATCCAGTTGACTCAGTTTCAGATATTTCTGTAATATAGGACTATTTTTTGACAATGGGGGAAATTACAAAACAATAAATATTTGTTTGAGCAAGGATTAATACAGAAGCTAGTTTTCATTACTTGTCACTATTATTAAAATGCAAATTTCAATGAGTACACATTGAATTACAGTTTTATGTTTTCAATATCTTTTTTGTGCAGAGAAGAGTAGCACAGGCCCATGTTATGGATGTGATCATGATTTTGTTACTTAAGTCCATACCTTAATACCTCACAGAGTAGCAGACCCAAAGTTTCTTAGTATTACAGCTAGATAGCTTAAAGAGGAACAAATCAAGTGGCTGTTTTAATGCAAAAATTTTAAGATTCTAGATCTTTTTTTTTTCAACCTCTTGGGTTAATTTTATTTTATTTTTGTAACAAACGAGGTGGTCAGGGTCTATGTCCTTCAAAATTATGACATGACTACTTGAATACAAAAAAAGAAAGTATTTACCTTCAGATCTCAAACAAAACAAAGATGTCCACTTTCATCACTCTTATTCAATATAATATTGGAAACATTAAAAAAAAAGCAATGAAGGAAGAGAAAAAAGTAAATGGAATCAAAATTGGAGATGAAGAAATGAAAATATTCGTGTTTGCAGATGGCATGATGTTCCACATGGAAAAACCTAAATACTACACCAAAAAAATTCTAGAACTGATAGACCAATTCAGTAAAGTCATAGGGTACAAAATCAACATGCAAAAAATTGTTTTTTTAAATATATGAGTGATACACTCAGTGAGCAGTGAGTGAAGGTGAAATTGAGAAAAAATTCCATTCACAATATCTATCAAAGAAAAATATTTAAGAATACATTTTTTAAAGATTCATTTTACTTTTTCAAGTGTTTTACACTATTCCTGTTGTGAAGTTGTATCTCAGCATTTTTTTCTACTTGTTTGGAAAAGAATTATAATAAATTCAGCAGTTTACTAGTCAGTGATTTCAGGTGTCCTGGTTGTTGAAACAAGTTTGTCCCAAGTCATAACATTTTTTACTTAGTGCATCTTGTACCATTACATGAAATTTTGACTTGCCACATAATACCAATTATAGTGATAAATTACGATGAATATGCTTTAATTTCAGTTTTTGCATCCAAGTTTAATTCTGGAATACTTTTCATATGTATATCAGAAGTAATTACATTATTTTGTAATTATTAATTATTCTGAGCATATGTATAATATAATCTAATATAATTAATTTGAGTTTATGTTTAATATAAAAATTATAATTATTCTGAGCATATGTATCACTTGTTAGATCTTGATAATACATATCTTGTTACACTAATCTGCTTTTTTTTTTTTTAAAGATTTATTTATTTGAAAGTCTGCGTTACACAGAGAGAGAAGGAGAGGCAGAGAGAGAAAGAGAGAGAGAGGGAGAGAAAGAGGTGTCTTCCATCCACTGGTTTACTCCTAGTTGGCCACAACAGCCAGAGCTGTGCCAATCCAAAGCCAGGAACCAGGAGCTTCTTCCAGGTCTCCTGTGCAGGTGCAGGGGCCCAAACACTCAGGCCATCTTCTACTCCTCCAGGCCATAGCAGAGAGCTAGATAGGAAGAAAAGCATCCGGGACTCGAACCAGCACCCACATGGAATGCTGGCACTGCAGGCAGCAGCTTTACCTACTACACCACAGTGCCGACCCCACTTATTTCTAATATTAATTACCTGTGAGGGGATATGGCTTAGATTTCAGCCACAGTGGTCTTCCAAATGCTTCATCCCTGATTACCCACTTTCCCACACAGATGTAGGCAGCAGAAACAAATGCTCGACACCCATCTGACCATCTATCTGGCTGCTTCCTTCCAAATGGCAGCAAGATACTAGTTCATGTGACTCTGGGAAGTAATGAAAGCCCGGGGGATATGCTTCACCAAATTCATGAACTGGGTAAATTTTGCCTCTTAGGGAAGGTAGAGAGAGTATAAGTCCTCATATGAGAAGCATCCTCCTTCAGTTTCCTTGTTCTATGGAAATTTACTATATTGATTATTGCTAACAGATTGTGATCATAATTTTTATTTCTTTATTCATAATTCCAAAACTCAGTTATGTTAGAGAGCTAATCTTATGTTCCATACCTAAAAGTCACTGAACTGCATGGAAATGTTTTACTTACGTACTTTCTGTAGGTTATATTTTAAAATCAATGTATTTTTCCTGAATGTGAAGGAAGTAGCTGCCATAGATCTCCAGGCTCAGCAATAAGACACAAGGCCCATTGCTGGCCTGTATTGAGTTGCCTCTGTGATCTCCTACATGAAATTAGAGACTTTTCCTTTTACACTGTTTTTGAAGAATAGAATTTTTCTTTGTAAAAATGAATGCAAGATACCATGTGGTGTGAAACAGATAGAAGTAGACCTTTGTGGCTAGAGGAGGCATGGGATCTGAAGCTGTGTCTTCCTTATTCCTTTATGTTGCAGTATCCTCTATAGAACTTAGATTTCTGTGGGACATAGTTTAAAAAAAATACCAGGTACGGGGCCAGCACGGTGGCTCACTTGGTTAATCCTCCACCTGCAGCGCCAGCATCCCATATGGACACCGGTTCTAGTCCCGGCTGCTCCTCTTCCAGTGCAGCTCTCTGCTGTGGCCTGGGAGGGCAGTGGAGGATGGCCCAAGTGCTTGGGCCCCTGTACCCACATGAGAGACCAGGAAGAAGCACCTGGCTCCTGGATCCGGAACGGTGCAGTTCCAGCCATAGCAGTCATATGGGGGGTGAATCAACGGAAGGAAGACCTTTCTCTCTGTCTCTCTCTCTCTCTTGCTGTCTATAACTCTACCTGTCCAATAAAAAAAAAAATACCAGGTACAAGTAAACATGACTAATTAGCTGGTATCTGCTGGGACATTATTCTCCTGTATTTCATTTTTTCTCCTTCATATATTCTGTGAAATGGAAGAGTATCCAGGTTTGGTACCTTCCATACTAATGTTGAATTTCAAGTTATTCCAACCTCTAAAACTCAACCTTCTTCTGGAAATAAAGAAAAAGTCCACAGAGGAAGGGTTTTTTTTTTAAGTTTATACATTTTATACATTTAACTTAATAAAGTATATATAATTTCTGATTCAGTGTTATTCATAAAATGAAGATTAGCATTTGATGCAGTTCTTTTTTTTAAAGAATTATTTTTATTTATTTGAAAGAGTTACAGAAAGAAGTAGAGCCAGAGAGAGAGAGGTCTTCCATTCCATGGTTCACTCCCCAAATGACTGCAATGGCCAGAGCTGTGCTGATCCAAAGCCAGGAGCCAGGAGCTTCTTCCAGGTCTCCCATGTGGGTGCAGGGACCCAAGGAGTTGAGCCATCTTATTCTGCTTTCCCAGGCCATAGCAGAGAGCTGGATTGGAAAAGGAGCAGCCGGGACTCGAACTGGCGCCCATATAAAGATGCCGGCACTGCAGGCTGGGGCTTTAACCCGCTATGCCACAGTGCCAGCCCTGATAAAATTTTTATTTCTGGCACCATTCATTTTTTTCCTTAGCCATTGCTTTGCATAATTCAAAAGCCATTGATGTTACTTTGTATAATAAAACAGTACAGGGTTGAATGCCATCAAGACACTTTTCTCTCCTTTTTGCCTCTGTAATCTGTGCCAGACACTGTATTCAGTGGGGGACAGCAATTGTCAATTTCTATTTTTTATTATTTCTATTTAACTAAATGGAGATTGCATGATATAATGGGAGAGTAAGAATAAAATGAAAGAG